TTTGCTGAATTAAAGACAAAGAAGCCAGCTCCATCAGTGGAAAAAAAATCCCCTTTTAAAGTCCCAAAATGTTTCCTGGGAGTCCTGCACCCGATTGCACCTCCCCAAGGGCTAGCAGCCCTCCGAACACCACTGGGTGCTTTACGATGCGGGCGATCGGGCGCACGTCTTGGCAGCCGGGGCGGTTTCGGCGAGGGCACGGCGGTGGGAGCCACGATCTGCCTGGCGAGGCTGAGCAGCCCAGGGCATCTCTTCAATTGCAGCTCGGAAGCGTTTCAGAAAGGTGGCCGGAAAGGGGCAAAGAGAGTAATGATTGTAATCACAGATGGAGAGTCGCACGACAGCCCAGACCTGGAGAAGGTGATTGAGGACAGCGAGAAGGACAACGTCACCAGATACGCCGTGGCTGTAAGTCGGGGGGACGGACATCCTTTTGGCAAAAGCCGTGCACAGCTTGGCAGTGCTCCATGCACCCCAATGCGATGGGGCTGGCGGTACTGCCCACCTCCACCGCTCCCGGTCCTCGCTGCTGGTCCTGCTTTTGCAGGAGGTGGTGGGATGCTCGGATCTGGATTCGGCTGCCAGAGCAGGTACTGGGGGAACAGGCAGGACCCTGCGTTGTGCCAGGCACCCAAATTTCATAAGGGGTGCCCAGCCTGGGCTGCCCGGTGGAATCACAGCAGCTCCTTGCTCCTCGGTTTGCTCCCACAACAGGGTGTCAGATGCCAAGGCTGTCGGGCTCCTTCTATATGGATACCTCTCAGGTGCTTTGGGAGGGCTCTACCCATCACATGAAAACCCGAGTCTTGCATTTCTATTTCAAACCTAGGTACTGGGTTATTACAACAGAAGAGGAATCAATCCCGAAGCCTTTTTGAATGAGATAAAATTTATAGCGAGTGACCCAGATGACAAGCATTTCTTTAATGTCACAGACGAAGCAGCACTCAAAGACATCGTGGATGCGCTGGGGGAACGGATATTTAGCTTGGAAGGTGAGTGATGCTCCTGCTCGACACGTCCCAGGCTCCAGCGGGTTCCTTCAGATATGCTGCCCGTCCTCTGCATGCTGAATTTGAACAGGTCACACCGGGGGTTTCCCTGAGATCTGTTTGATACAGAACCTAAAAATCATACTTTGAGTATCTGCATATATAAAGAAATGTCTTTATTTTGAGTGGTTTGCATCCCTCAAGCGTCAGGAGCGCAGATCCCCTCTCCTCCCAAGGACACCCCTCGGTCTGGCGCTGGCTCTGTTATTTACAGCAAACCTTTGAAATTTGGTAGAGGGGTCAGCTGGGCGTCAGCATCTTTCTCATCCACCAAACTCCATTCAAAGCCAGCTGGGGTAGAAACGGGCAAAAACCCCACACCGACGGCCAGGGACTCGCTGGGGTGACAGATATTGCGGGGTTATAGGGGTTTATGGTTTATTGGCCGAAATTAAATATCAGAAAATATTTTTGTTATGAACGACAGCGCTTCTGTCTGCCTCATGACAAGTTCATCAGTCTCCAAAACTCAATTTATCTAAATTTCATAGGAAAAGCGCATCCTGGGACAAAGAATTGAAACAGAATATGGAGGGCTTTCACTGAAAATTAAACATCTCAGGGTTTGGGGGAATTTTGGTCCAACCAGCTCACAAACTCCCCTCCAGTTTGCCACTTACCTTGGTCCAGCTAGCCCAACGCTTTGCTGTGGAAGAGAGCTTCCCTGGGTGAGAAGCTTCACCCAGTTGCAATTACAATGCAAAATCAATGCAAAATCCTCTAAATCCCCTTTTTTGTGTGATCTTGCAGCTGGGAAAGGAGAGAACCACACTGCAGCAGAGCTCCCAGTACCTCTTAGCAGCACGAGTTTGGGGAATTGTGGTGATTTAGGGAGAATTGTGGTGATTTAGGGAAAGTTGTGGAGATTTAGGGAGAATTGTGGTGATTTAGGGAAAGTTGTGGAGATTTAGGGAGAATTGCAGAGAT